TCCTGAAGACTGTGATCACTGGTGACGAGTCGTGGGTGTATGGATATAACCTGGAAACCAAGGTCCAGACATCACAATGGAAGCATCCAACATCCCCGAGGCCCAAAAGAGCACGATAGGTTCAGAGCAATGTAAAGGTGATACTGACTGTTTTTTTCTATTACCGGGGTGTTGTGCATCATGAGTATGCACCACTAGGCTAGACTGTCAGTAAGGAGTACTACCAAGAAGTCCTCCGTCATCTTCGTGATGCATTTCGGCCCAAGAGACCGGAGCTGTGGGACGCACGCAACTGGCAGCTGCAACATGACAACGCCCCAGCTCATTCATCACACCTGATCCAGGGATTCCTGGCCAAGCACGGAATTCCACAGGTTTGCCAGGCTCCCTACTCTCCTGACATGGCTCCTTGTGATTTCTGGCTGTTCCTGAGATTGAAGACACTGCTGAAAGGCTGCCGTTTTGATAGCCGCGATGACATCATACAGAATGCAACAGTGCAGCTGCATGCCATTCCAAAAGAAGCCTTCCAGAATTGCTTCCAGCGATGGAAGGACCGCTGGGCTAAGTGTGTGGAGTCACAAGGGGCCTACTTTGAAGGCGATCAGGTATTGTAACCACCCAGATACAGAACTTTTTTTTCCCGGCCCAAGGTCGGATACTTTTTGGACATAGTAGTACATATTTACAAATGTAATTGTACTATATTTGGGTATTTAATTGCTGATAGTACGACTGTCAGCACAAGTAATATGGGAATATCTTCAATAAAGACAAGAGGAGTTGGTATATGTCATATGTACTTAATATAAACGTAACTTTGCTACATGTTTCAACCATATAATTAGGTCGTCATCAGACACTTATGAACATAACTCAAGTGATTAAAATATTGGTTGTAATATGGATCTGTATTCTTGCAACTGATTGCTGCATTATAGCTACAATTTAGTATACAATTCATATTATGATTGTGATTAAAAACATAAAAATTAAGATAAGATAAAACATATTAAAGATATTAATGGCATAAAAATTGTGTGTTTAAAAATACGAGGGGAAGTCAATAATTATCCGCAATGCAGTTGTATTTGTGTTTCTGTTGGCAGCACTGTTGTTTTGTGCAGCAGCGCCATGTGTGGTTTCCTTGTCATTATTTCTGCGCAGGTTTGATGTTGCTAGGTCAGTTCCATTGTCGCTGCCTTGCCGTTAATCATGGCTGCTCCGCTTTCTGTTTGCACCAAAGAAGAGCAACATTCAGTGATCCGATTTTTGTGGTCGGAAGGTGTATCAGGGGCCGCAATGGATCAGAGACTTTTGGCACAATACGGGAACAGTGTTTTGCCGCAATGGAGTGTCTACGAATGGATTGAAAATTTAAAAAATGGTCCCACAAGTGTTACGCATGAGGAAGGAGCCAGACGACCATCCACGGCCACAAATGAGGACAATATTGAGCGTGCATGTGACATGGTTCTGTTAGACAGACGAGTGACTATTGATGAAGTGGCAAATTGTCTGCAAATTAGTCATGGTTCTGCCTACGAAATCATCCACAACAGACTTGGGTTTCATAAAGTCTGTGCAAGATGGGTTCCAAAACAACTCACAGTGTTGCATAAACAAACATGCTTGGGCATCTGCCAACAACATTTGGGTCACTATGGTAATGAACGTGACGTCCTTAGACAGAATCATCACTGGTGACGAAACATGGATCCATCATTGCGAGCTGGAGAGTAAACTGCAGAGTATGGAATGGAAACATCCACAATCACCCAACAAGAAAAAGTTCAAAAGCCAACCATCCGCAGGAAAACTGATGCTTACAGTTTTTTGGGAGTCACAAGGCCCAGTACTGGAGCATTATCAGGAGAGGGGCACAACAATAAACAGTGCTCGTTACAGTGAGATGCTTACTGACATGCTAAAGCCTGCAATTCAAAGCAAATGCTGAGGACTACTGTCAAAAGGTGTCGTGTTGTTGCACGACAATGCCCGTCCACATACTGCTGCCCACACTGCTGAAACCGTTCGGAAACTCAAGTTTGATGTAATGTCTCATCCTCTGTATAGTCTTGATCTCGCCCCTTCTGACTACCACTTGTTTGGTCCACTCAAAGAGGCATTAAGGGGCCGTCGATTCACCTTGGACCAAGAAGTGAAGGAAGTGGTGCATGCGTGGCTCACTGCTCAGCCGAAAACCTTCTTTTCTGAGGGCATCAGGAAGCTTGTGCGTTGATGGACCAAGTGCGTTGAAAAGCAAGGGGACTATCTTGAAAAATTATGCTAATGTAAGTTTTCTATTTGTATCGAAATAAAATTTATAGCTACATTGCGGTTAATTATTGACTTACCTATGTATAAATTTATATTAGGGTAACTGTCAAATAAGCTTTGGCTCGTAATATTTCAGGATGTCTAATTTGTTTTCTGTTGTGCTGTTAGAATGTTTAGAAAAGGTATGGTGCTGTAATACCTCAAATTATATGGCACTGAATTGATTCATGAAAAATGAATTGAAAAGGATGTGAAAGCAGTTATGGCCTCACTGGAGGTATTTGACATATGCATGGAGACAGAAGGGAAAGCCAGAAGTACTCCATCAGAATAGCTAGCTTCTGGGCTGAAATTTTAACCCAGGATTTCCCAAACTTAAAGCAGGAGTGCCACCTACTTGACTGCAACATTTTATTGTTCTTATATAGACATGCTGTAGTTTCAAGTTCAGATTTGTTGTGCAAAACTGTAGTAATATTCTAATAGGTTAAAAAGTTACAGGAAGGTCAGTTTTCCCATGGTATACTTTGAAATTATGTAGGTCAGTGACTTATCACTAGGGATGTATGTTTAGGATTTTTTCAGCAGGGCTGTAACAAAAAAAATGGTTGAATGTAAAAGGTTTGTAACATTAAATATTGAGGTGAAAATTGGTGGTTACACGACTGGAGATAATTATTTCTTCTTGAGCACCGAAAAATGCGTTTTTTATATAGTCATAATAATTGAATGAAAGTTCTTTAATGGTAGAATTTAATTTCATCCAGGGAAGTTGGTAGTTTGGCATTTGCGGGCAACCCTTGAAACTTTACCCTACTCATGTAACATTGTGTTGCTTCAACCCTCCAACCTCTATCGATTTTCATAGAAGTACATAAAAGGTGAGACGATTTTTTTAAACATCGGAAGCCTTCCCTCATAAACGTGTTTTACGTAGGTTTATGAAAAGTACTGAATCTGTATAGTCATTCCTTTGCATGCCCGTAGTGATGGAAGTGATTGTGTTTTGTTTTCCGTTGTCAGGAAGTCACTGCAAAAAGTAATAATATTTCCCTTAACCTCTTTGTACACCTGCTTTGCTTCTACAATCTCAAGGTTGGATGATAGTGGCGCTTTCTTTCGGTTAATGATTGCACTAGACAGTTGCTATGGCAGCTTCCTTGTCGTAGTAGTGTTCGGAAGCGTGGCTGGAATTCTCAAGCTCATAAAAATGTTACTTTAAATCGTCACGTTTGATTGCAGTGTTATTTCTATAATTACAGCTGCCACCAGCATTTTGTTTGCATTTTGTTTTGTGGAAGTGCTTATTCGTCTGTTGGAAGGAAAAGGGGCACGGTGACGAAGTGTTTTGCGGTACATGAGTATTTAATCCTTCGAGTGTAATATTGTGCAATAAGTAACACAACAACTGTGACGTTTTACGTGAGGCAGTAAACCGAATTCTCGCCAATATTGTAAGTTATTTTTCATACTTTTGCGTATTCATGTATATTTCGCAAGCTGTGACGTCAGAAACGCCGCCCAAAGTCGCTGATGACATGCCAGTCAGACAGTGGATGGCCTAAATTACGTCACGAACCTCGAGAATGGCTGTCTGTTAGACGAAGTGTAATCTCGTAATTAATTTTCATATGCATTGATTTTCACGAAGTATCTACGATAAATTTTTCGGTCACTAGTAAAATACCAAGTAGGTATAGATTAGTGATAGGGGAGGAGGATTATGCTGCTTAAAATTTAAGTGATTTGTATACTAATGCAAAATGCACTAAAGGTTATTGAGTTTTACAGTGTAATAGTATTAATGAAACCTGTGCAAACAAACAAACAAACAAAAAGACACCTTGAAGGTACAGTTGACAATAGCCTGTAAGAGAAAGTTGGCTTGCCAGTGCTCACTTGAACATTCATGGTTAGTTTTTATGATGTATAGAAGTTACAACATGAATGGTGGGATATGAAATTTCATAAAATACTCAATGCAATCCTTTGGCCTTTATGAGAAATGAACTTTATGGCAAAATGACAAGTTTCCCTAAACCAAATCAAGAACATAACATTCACTGTTTTAGTTTTTTGGTTTTTATTGATGATTTGTTGTATTATATATTTTTATTTTATGGAAAATAACATGGCAGCCTTACAAAAATTCTCTTTAATTTTCAGTTCGATAGCAATAAGTGATGAACCATTGGAGCTAGGCACTTGAAATTAGGCTCTGAGAGATCAGAAATGGGCATGCATTGTATATACGGAATGCTGTTTGTAAGTCAGCTGCTATAAACCTGGTGGCTGCTTGAAACTGTGAGATTGTATCCAACAAATAACTTAATGGTATACAGAATCTCTACTAAAGTAATGAGTTATTCACAGAAATAAAGTGAAATGATGATGATGATGATATCTGTGCTACAGGAAAATAAGCTTCGCTTTCATAATACTCACTCTAATGAGAAATGTACTATATCTTTCTCTATATAGAGTTCATATAGCCCACCAACCTTGCTTATGTTCATAACCAGAGTTGGATTAATTCTGTAAGAAACTCAGTATATTTTTATACAAAATAACTATTGTGAAATTTATTATGGTGTTTCTTTATGTCCTTTCTGTTTGTCTCTTCACAAACCATGGCTGGGTCAATATTCCTGATAAGAGTAGATGGATGTTTGGGCTCATGTCATAACCTTCCAAAATAAGAAGTTTCATTTGGATTGCAGCCAGAAGACAAGAACCCTGATGTGTCCAACTTGGACGATGGTCAATTGAAGGCACTCCTGGATGAAGCTATCACATACAAGCGCCCTAAAGATCGTGAGGGAAAGAGTGACTTGTTCAGGGTGAGTCCAAGGTCTATGAAGAAATACAAACACATGCCTCCTTTTGGGCTTCTTCACTCTTGGTTGAGTGTTTGGCTGGAGAATGTTCTTCACATTCTCTTTAAGCCATGATATTTAGTTCAGTAGGTTTAGGGGACATTTAAAAATATATTTAGGTCTTTGGGTAAAATGGTACTGTGTAAGATTTTTAATACAAACTCTGGTCAGGTAGTTGCAGGACTGATATTTTGGAGACCATTATAAAGTCCTAAACTTTCCCTTGAATTCATTCCCTTGGTAGTCTTAACCTAGTCATACTCAGTGAGTTTAGCACCTTTGGCAGTCTGAGTTTGTGGTTGCGATTTCTTTATAATATCTTTGCATATCCAGGGATCTTTCTTGGGGGGGAATTGTTTTCAATTTTGGGGGCAGAGAAATTTGCTTTTTATCAAGTTGGATGTAGTGAGTAGGAAATTGGTGTATTGTTGAGGCAAGAATGCCTTTGTGGAGGTTATTCAGTATGGATTTTTTCAAGATGCATCATTTCCACATCTTCAGCTCGCATCTGTATGCAAGAGATGGTAACTTCTGGTTCAGTTTGACATATATCATTTTATCATGTATCCTAGAGGAAAGCAGCTGATCCCTCAGAATGCAGTTTTTATATGTAAGTGGAGTGTATGTCATCTTGTGGAAATTTGGTTATCTTTAAAGGAACAATTGTTCGAATGATTTTAAGTGTCACAGTTTCGTTGCTGAGAGCACTTTTAATGTCTCATTGGTTTGTGGTTGTGCAAATTTTGTATTGAATTTGAACACACAAGCTTATAATGATTGACACAATATATTTATATTTATTGCCATAAAAATCTGTTTGTTGATATTTAGAGCAATTACCATCACACCAACCATAATCACTTATACTCTTGAGATTAGTTCTTTGTGCACTTGTTGCATCACAGTGGCATTACTGGTCAAGTACTGAACCCACTTTTCTCTTGACAGCTGATAGCACTTAGTGCCACTTGATTTCACTGCATGGAGAAGTTGGAACTGTGAGATGACTGACTCACTAACATGTTAACTGACCCACAGATTGACATACTGGCTAAACAATGACTCATCTGCCTGCTTTGCTGTGCAATGCACAGAAGGGATGGTGACTCACAAGACATGACAAATACTGACAAAAATGTTATCTCATGAGCTGATGCTCTATAGGGCAGCAGGTAAAGGGACAGTCTGTCATATCACTCTTCTCTTGTGCATTGAAACGACCTTCCTCGTATGTTCCTTCACTGTCTCCTTATGATGTTCCCTCATGCCATTCACTTGCCAGTATAGAAAGGTGATGTGCTTCATGCAGATTCTGGGGCACTGTGACACTTCCTGCAGGGGTCATGACTCAGATTTCTGACCTAGGTGACTGCATGTCCCTCTGGATCCCACATGATCAGAAGAAATTGGTCACTTGAACATCTGCCGCTGTTTGACGCCTCTTGCTTAGGGATGTCATCAGCCTACAACCACTTGAAGCTGTCTTTGGCAATAGGGAAGTCAGTTCCCCCTGTTGCTCTCAGGAAAGGATATCCTGTGATGTATGGTGATACTCTTGAATGGTGCATTGTGCCCTGGCTCCAGGTTCAGGGGCCATGGCTTGCTGTGCAGATGCCAGTGTTGGTATTATCTAACATCACTCCTCACTTTTAGCCAGTAGCACCACCATCTTGTCTTGTCCAGGGTTTTATTGGCATAGAAATATCCTCCTGAAGATCCTCCTTGGAGCACTTTCAATACTTCCTCCACCTTGATCGAGGGGAAAACTATATGGACTGCCTCAGACCCTCCATTGGTGGACTTCTAATGACTCTGTAGCAGTCTTTCTCTTAATGGTAAGAGGGTTCATTAAGCCCAATAAATCTTGTAGATGGCACTGGTGAGTGATGGCCTTCCACTGAGGGCACTGTCCCGCCTTTGCGTCATTTAGAATTGGTCCCATATCATGCAGCTGATGCCTCAAGGCCGCATAGTCCCAGGAATCTCTGATGGCAGCAGCTGTAACTCCTGCCTTCTGACTGCATAACTGCTGTTGAACTTGTCAGTGAGCACATGCCTCCAGGAAAGGTCTTAAAGAGAATGGAGCTGTGCTGGTGTGCATACCAAACAATCCAGATTTTAGAAGAGGCACTTGCAGGCCAGATGATGTAATCCTTCCCATCCACAGCTTCCATGACAGTGTTTAACCGTAACCATAACTAAGCATCCTGCAAAGGATTGGACTTCAGTATCCAGAGGTTCCTGTTCTTTGTTTAGCATATAGTTTGGGAGAATTATGCTTATGTACTCACAGGCACATAACTGTATTGCTTTGCAGCTTTTGTTCAATACACAAGGTATCAGAAAAACTGGGAAACCTATTCTGAGAAATTTCAGAATGCACTCTGAAGAATGAATTAAGGTTTCAAAGCATATGTATAACATAATAGTAATAGGAGTTTATGAAAAAATGCCACTTTTAAGCTTCATGTATTTGTGGTCCAGGCACTTTGAAAAACTTTGGATGTTAACCTTAGAGTTGAGTGGTCTTCAATTCCTCTAGACTTTTTCACTTGTAAAAGCTGACCTCTGAAAATTAAGTACTGGTACCATTATTAAGCTAATCATATTTTATTAATAAATACCAAATAGTTTTATTTTTTAGATGTTTACTTTCAGTAAATAGGCTTATTTTTCTGTGTTCTCTCTCATGTAATTAAAATGATTAAGTCCTGTCTCCTTGTATTTGTGCAATGTTTATAGTGTGTGTTTTTTTTTGTGTTGCCAGATCTCCAGACACTGTACTGTTGGCCTCTTAACTGCAACTTTGGCCATCACGTAGTGAGATAACAGAGTTAGATTATTGGCTAGTATGCTACACATAAACCCATATGCGCAATTCTTAAACTAATAAATTGTTCGGGGTAACCCACCATCATAGCATATGCTCAGAATGGCTGCCTTATGCTCTAAAAAAAGACCAAACCTCATGAATAGTTTGACACTAGTTTGATTTCACTGACCTTGATAAATGTAATTGTTTCACAAATGCTGTGGTTTTTATCCAGTGAGGATTATTTGAATACACTTTCTCTTTTTAGGTTTCTCCGTTTAACAGTCACAGGTACTTAAGTCTGGAGAACTTATAGGCCATAATCTACAAATATTAATGGAATAGTTAATGGTGTTTGTGTTAGCACCATTTTGCATAAAATAACCATGTCTTTTCTTCTTCTATAATGCTGTCAAAAAAATATGGCTGAAGAATGTTGACATACATTCTGAATTAACAGGCTGTTGAAAAGATATGGGTCCTACATTCTGAATTAACAGGCTGTTGAAAAGATATGGGTCCTACTATTTGTGTAGTAACAATGGCACATCATACCCCACCAATCTTGAGATCATGAAGGGATACTTCAGAAGTCTGTTTCAGATTAATACTGCTGCAGTACTTGTATTGAGAACTGATATACCCACTGATGTGGAACCAAACTTTATGGAAGTTTTGGATCAAGAACACTGTCATATTCTGCCAGCAGAAACCGTAAACCATTCTTTTCTTGTAATTGCCTTCTTCATTTCCTTAAACCTGTGTCATTTTATACAGCAATAGATGTAATTTTTGGTTGCTCTCCACACTGTCATCGGAACAGTGTTAGTGATTTGTGAGGCAAATTTTCTAATCTGGTTCCAGTTTTGTCAAGCTCTTCTTTGACTATCACAGCGTTTTGTCTAGTGTATTTCTTGTTTAAGAAAGACCCTGTTGAACACACTTTCTTCACCAATTAAAAATCGTTGAAGGATGTGGAGCTCAAACACCAGGATACTTTTGCATGATACACATCATTTATATTTCACAAAGTGCTGTACAGGGAACACCTCTGTACAAGTGTATATTTTACAATCTCAATTCACTATTGTAAATAAAAACGCAAAACAGATTTGTGAATGTTATACCAAAACATGAGCATAAAAGGAACTTAATGCATTGCAGGAAGTCAGATACAGTGACATCCAAAGTGATATAAGAGAAATAGTAACAGAAACACTGCCTAGTAATGCTAGCTGATGGTCTCTTTTGTGATCTGCTTACTGCTTAGAGCACATTCATCTATTCAGACAGGTAGGGCAGCTGGACTTGGTACTTCAACAAAGGCTTTGTGTAATGCTGCCATCTTCTGTCTTGGAATATCCAGAATGGAAGAAAATAATAACAAAAATATTTAGACAGTGTCAAGATTAAATGAAGGGAGAAGTTTATAGGTGTAGCTCTAAAATATTTTGGAGAATCTTCTGTAAAAGAGAGTGATTAACTTTCATATAACATGGAGTAATTCCTAAAGTATATGTGGAATTCTGGTTTGTGAAATGTTTCAGGAACTGCTGCAGGAGGCTGAAGCAGACGAAACTGAGTGTGGTGACAGACATAGGGTTGGGGCTGATGCCATTCCAGAACAGGTAGTTTCAGCGAGTGGCTCCCGCTGTTACAGTAATAGCAACAAACGACGCGGGCGTCGGGATACAGCGGTATCAGAACATCAAACTCATGGAGGCTCTCTACAGAACCTAGTTTATGACATTAATTCTGAATTTGACACTTCAGGGTTCGGCTACTTCAGTCAGTCAAGTGGGCACTCAGGTGGTGTAGGCAGGAGGAAATCAAAACGGGGTAACAGCGGTCGAGACTACTGTGTAAGTGTGAGTGCCCGACAGCGTGAAGGTGGTTCGCTACCCAGTAATGTAAATGTGGGTGGGGCTAGTGGAGGAATGCTCACATTGAGTGGGCTTGAATTCCCTCCCACTGCGCCTCTCTCCTCGGCAGCCACTGCTGCCCTACTATTTGATGACGCTCGAGGATACATAAGTAAGCAAAATAAACCACGAAAGGAACTAGGACATACAGTATCAGCGAATGAATTCACAACCGCAATGCCAGTTCACTCTTCTGCCAACGTCTCTTATCAGACTGGAGGTGAAGCTCCGAACAATGTGTCGAAAACGGAATTCATGGTTGTTGATCTTAGAGACTTGGGTAAGAATGGACAGGAGACAAAGACCAGTGGTGTGGTGGTGGGGGAAAGTGCGGTGGAAGGTGGAAGTGGCACAGGGAGTCTAAGTGGTGGTGAGGGTGGGAAGGTGCTTGGTGGTGATTTATGCAACAGTGGTATGGATGAGGAAGTGGGCATTGAGATGGAGGTGATTCAGAGGAGCGAGGCAACTCGAGTTCCTAACTACACCAGTCGTGCCACGTTAGAGGTTGGTCTTGGTGGTGACTGCAGTACCAAGAATAAGAACCTGACTGATGGTGGAGATGTTGACACCACTGTTGCATTCCCACTAGGAATCATACAGGTATGACCATATGTAGTAACTTCATTATTTCTACTATATGAAGTGCTGTGTCTGTTACCCATGTACTTTCATGGTAAAATTGACCTTGTACTTAACTAATTAAATACTACACTACTAAGGCACATGAGGGAGTGGGTGTGTAGATTTAAATATTTTTGACTTTGGTACTAGTTGAAGGTGAGTGGTCAGCTTCTTGCTTTGCTTGCTTTACCCCTGGAGAAAGATCCCTCAGGACCCATTGCATAAGAGGCTTGGTGAGCCCCAGAACTTGTCTGTAGAGTGTGGAGAAAAGAAAACTTGCCACTGCTGGGACATGAACTCTGCCCTCTTGGCCTTTGGCCTGTAGCCATTTTCTATACCTACTGTGCTGTCCTGTCTCGTTACCAGTGTACCTGGTAGTTAAATTACTTAGACCAAGGGCAAATCCAGTCAGAGGTTTAAAAGTTAGAGCTGTCTGTCTTTTGACATAAATTTTTATGTGCTGCATTATTATATATAATTATATTAGATAGGGCGTGTCTGAATGGAAATTAACTTTTTAAGATTTCAGTCTTCTGGGTTGTAATTACATATAGTTTGATAGACGTCTGCCAATATTTCAGAGGAACATAACCACCTCCATCTTCGGTGTTGAAGAGTAAGTCAAGCAAGAAACTTTTTTTGACCTCCTTCCTCCATTTTTGACAGGAAAGATCATAGTTATTTGGCATGATCATAACAAAAACTTGAAGAATTTTGTGCCTATTAGCTTTGCCACTTCTTTTGTTCCATGTGTTATGGCTCAAGAGCCATTGAACAGATTTTCATGAAATGCAATATTTAGGGGAGAGGGGATTGTTAAAATGTCCCAACATATTGCAGTTTTGTTTAAGATTTTACAGAAATGTCTGACACTTCTCAGTAAGGTCTATATGCATTTCAGTTCATAACCTGATAAATATTTACTACATTGAAAAATGTTTTAAATAAAAGTAGTTGGGGGGGGGGATGAAACACACATGATAACTCATGCCATTCTTTGTGTAATGTAACAGGAATGAAAGTATCAGAATTGAGAAGGTATGTGTACATTTCCTAAGTTGTTTTTCTTCCATTAGTGATGATTATTGATTACAAGCTTTGCTAGAAATTATCTTATACCATACCTACATAATGTAAGATTTGAGGTTTTCACAGCAGTGACGATGAAGAAAGTAGTCTTTTGGCATGTGGCACTGTGTTGATATGGTGTTAACCAACGTTTCAGAGGAACAGATCACCTCCGTCTTCAGGGTAGAAGGAAAAATAAGAAAATCCACAAGCGAAGAGACAGTGAGAACAGGTGCAAACAGACTAATGTTGGGAATAAACTCAGCTGTATGAGAGCAGGAAAGGGAGGGGACAAGTCTACATGAGAAATCAGCGGAGAGGGAGAAGGGAAGGGTCTGGGACAGGAGCAAGGTTAGAGCAGGTATAGGATATTGTGTCGGGGGAGAAAGGCAAGGTTAATGGGAGGCTACCAGTCATATAGTAATTCTTAAACTAGAGTTATAGAAACAGTAATAAAAATATCATGTCATCTGGCCCCTGCAGTTGCAGTATTGCTGCTGGCTGGGGATTACAGAATCGGACAATGCCAGCATGTGAAGTTTTACACACTTTGTTTATAGGGTTTGCATGTTCACATTGAGGTATATTGTACAGCATTTTCTGTACATATGTATAATATATACTTATTCATTTTTATTAGATGAAGTAAACATGTGTAATTAACAGTGTCATTTTCTGCTTGTATACATCATAGCCCCATTTAAGATTTTTCTTGATTTGTGGTATAGAAATCTGTCCACAAGGCAGTCAGTAAATTAGTTCGTAATTTGTAATTATTTGTTTGAGGTCACCTCACAGTTAATCACCTATGTGTGTAGCATTGAACTTTTGACATCTGCTGTCACATTATTAGTTATTTATCAGTCCGTGAACTAACTGTTCAACATGCAGTGAAAGGAAACTGGATGGATCGGCGAGTAAACAGTAGCAGTCAGAAGAAAGTCTTAGGTGTGGGAGGACTTTGTCCCACATAGCAATTATAAGTTAAGCATTCGAAGGGGAAGTTCATTTGTTGTGGAAGTGATATTAGTGTAGGATGATTGTTTATTGGAGTTCACATGTGGATCAATACTGAACATCTTAAGTAATTTGTTGATAAAAAATGTGTGCTTGCAGTGTGAGAAACGTAGTGGTGTAGTGAATGGTGTGGAGCAGAGTACCCTGCAACTTCCGTCTTCCTACAACTCTGTGAAGTGCATTGTGGGTTCAACCAGTAACAGTAATCGTGAGGACAGGAATAGCGGTGCCACCAAAGGTTAGTGTCAGCCATGATTTTGATAATTTTTCATACATAGGTGCTTAGATTCAGCTACTTAATGCTATATTGTTCAACTCACTGACTATATTCTGGTGGTTTGAAACGAGTGTAAACGACTGATCAGTTCAGTCAGGATTGGAGATTCTCACATGAAAAGGATAAACACAGATCTTTCATGCTCTGTTTCATATATGAGGTGTGAAAATAATACAGTTCTACTCAGTAGGACTGAATTGTATTGCAAAAGCATAAATCAAATATTTTTCCGTATGCAGTATAGGTATTAATACTTAAAAAGAGAAGAATGACAAAAGTGATAGTCTGAGAATCCATTGTATGAAATTTATTTGTATAATTTCTCCCAGTACATAGTATTTTTCACTCTAAATTGAACTATGAAATAATTTTTCTTTATTCAGTTTCACGCATGAGAAGTGTGCATGTGTGTGCAGGTACCTGTTGTATCCTTTTTCCCATTATTTTTAGTGGTTGGAACTAGCAGCATATGTCTGAAATGTTGGCTGAGATTTGTAATGGGTAGTAGCACGAATGGGGGCAACGAATGTATATAGGATATTGGTGGGAAAGCCAGAAGGAAAGAGACCACTGGGAAGACCAAGATGTAGGAGGGTGGACAATATTAAATTGGTCTTAGAGAGATGGGATGGATTGGATTGATCTGGCTCAAGGTAGGGACCAGTGGACGGCTCTTGTGAACGTGGTAATGAACCTTTGGGTCCCATAAAATGCTGGGAAATTCTTGAGTAGCTGCAGAATTGGTGGCTCCTCAAGAAGGGCTCAGTTCCATGAGTAAGTAAGTAATATGAAATTGAAATGAATTCAGCATATGTTTAGCTGGTGTAACTGACATGAAATAGTGTGTTATGTGCAGCTCTATGTGCAAACTACTTCAGACTTCTGCATCAGTCATTTTTATAGTATAGCATTGTGTTTCATTTGTCTAATTGGAGGTTTTGTATACTGTTTATTCTTATTCTCTACCTTTTTGTGCTGGCAGCTTTATATTTTAGTAAACTATTAACTTTTTTTGTATAAGTTTTGTACGTTATAGACAAAGAATTCAGTGTAATTGAAATTCCTAACTAAATGGATGGTACTATTATGTTCCTAAAGTCATGAGTAAAGGGACCGAGTGTAAATAGTGCCAGATAGTGATTCCATGTGAAATGATGCAGTTCTGTGGTAAGTGTATTTTTAAATGTCTTCTAAATTTAAAAAGGTAATCATGAAAAAGTGAAGTAGTGGTAAATGTATTGAAGTTTATGTAAGGCGAGTCATTAACAGGAAAGTGGGTTGTTCTCCTCGCCAGCACATTGCTGAGATGTGTTGGTAATGCAAATGAATTTTGAAAACTGTCATGGAGTGTATTCCACTCCCAACAGAAGATGAGGAAAAACCGAGTCCATGTTGGTAAGTGTGAAAAGTATGTCCTGAGAAGAATTTGCCATTGTCAGGAAGAAAAGGTGTTTGCAGTGAAAGGAATCCTGACCAGATTTTGTTGGCCGTTATTAAGAAGAATGTGTTTCAGATGAAGAGAAACAAAAGAACAAATTAAAGTCTGTTTATAGAGTTTTGACTGTTTGACAGTTCAGATACAGTTACTTCAGAAAATGTCAGTTAGGTGCAAAAGGAAAGTGTAGTTTCTTTAGGTGGAGCTTGCTTACAAATCCGGTTCATAGATATGGTGAAATCAGTGTTGCGAGTCTTTATAATCATAACAAACTAATTTCATGGAGCTGAGCCCTTCTTGAGAAGCCACCGATTGTGCAGCTACTTTAGAACCTCCCAGCATTTTACGGATCCCGAAGGTTCATTACCATGTTCACAAGAGCCCTAAACTTGTCTCTATCCTGAGCCAGATCGATCCAGTTCATACCACCCCATCCAGTTTCTATAAGATCCATTTTAATATTGTCCATCCACCTATGTCTTGGTTTGCCCAGTTGTCTCCTCCAGTCTTTCCCACCAATATCCTACATGCATTCCTCTTCTCCTCATTCCTGCTACATGCCCTGCCCATCCTATCCTCCTAGACCTAATTCTTCTAACTATACTCAGCAAAGAGTAAACATTACAAAGCTCGTCATTACACAGTTATTTTCAACGTCCTGTCACTTCATCTCTCTTTGGTCCAAATGTTCTCCTGAGTAGCCTGTTCTCAAACTTCCTTATGGCTAGATGCTGGCCCCCAGGCTGCTGCTTCAGTGCTCCAGAAGTTTCCACTGTGGCTTCCTTAGGGACTTTCTCATGTCCCGCTATGGACTGTACCTCCAATGAGGTTGGCTCGCTACTCTCCAGACAGGCCTCAGTCACTTCTTGGCAGGCCATCTTCTCTCTTCACCATGCCCTCATTTCTGCTAGCCATGCAAACATTTTGGCTGGCATTGATCTTTTCTGGGTGAGAGACCACCTTTTCCTGCCTGGCAGCTAACTTAGCCTGTAGGTGTTCCTTCTTCTGTTCGTCGTTTGTTCCATTTTTGTATGCTGACAGTACAACTGTCAACTTAAGTAAACAGTTGAATCCAATTGATCAGTCTGTCCAGTCTCATGTAGTATGTGTGACTATAGACAAGGTTTGGATTGGGGAATAGGTTTATTGACCACTTACAGGTCGTAACAAAAAATGACTGTAGCGCTATTGCTATTTTCACACTTTACAGTACATTAGAACACACAGTCTAGTGTTCTCGGACTGTTGAATGAATGAATGTATAAGGGGTGGATCTTCTTGGCCCTTGCACCACGACCTACAGTGATCTATTGTGCTTTTCTCGGACTGTTACTAGACATTTCCTGGGAACACCTCCAACAGTGGCTATTCTTCTGCCTCCGGGCTCAAGTCCTTTCTTCACAGATTTGCATACAGAACTGATTCTGACCTTGTCCCTTGCTTATGACATCTTGGCATGGACCACACAGAAAATACAGCTCTTCTGTTGTTGTTTCTGGATTCGTTTCTGCTGGAACATGTTTACCAAGCTGTTGGCCCAAAAAGGCCCTTGTATATCCACCCATCGCACAGTCATTGCATAACGATGGCTCTACTTGCTACAGTATATTCAAATGGAGGTATAAAGTACGTACCTCCAGGTGTATTGTGAGAATAATGTATTTCTTAATGCTGTTTTTCTGAAGTCACTGTTTGATACTGTTTAATTTGTAACAAAATAAAAGGAAATTAAGTACTTATTACTTTATATGCTATACTTTTGTCCAGTCGTGTTTTCTGTCTTATTCCTCTTCCCCTTCATATGTGCGCGTGTTACACACACACACACACATCCTAATTGAATTCTAGCTTTTTTGACAAGGGTATTTCATTAAGTATGGACGTTTTGCTCCCTGGTTTATTTACAGCCAATATTCTCAAGCATTGCTGTAAAAGGAAAGTTTGTATTGTCTCGAACCTCCCTGCGATATATACATACTCGTACATGCCTCAGTAAATGTACATGTTGTTATATTTACATATGCTTTAGGGGAAGAGACAGTTGCAATAAAAGTAATTATTTTGTATAACACAACCAAAAATAATTTATTCAAAGGTGTTAGGATCTTCAGTAACCAGAAGGTATAAAATTAGGAGGAAAGAATATAGTAATTATGTCCTGCATAATGTTATAAAAATTTAAAAAGATACTAAAATTTGTCTTTATATTTCAACTTTTCATATCTTGACTCATTTCACTTTTGTTAATTGTAAGAGCAAGAGCTGGAAGATGAATTGATTTTAAAGTTGTGGTATCTGATTTCACTTATAGATCTAAAGTTACAGGAAATATCATTGTTCTGTAAAATAACTTTGGTCTTCTATTTTTTAACTCGTCTTGCCATAGCTTCACTGCATGAGCCTGGGTTTATTTTTTTTTTCAAGATGCTGATTTTTGTAGTGTACAAAGTAGAAATGGGGCTCCTTTTCCTCAAGTGTGCCAGTTTTCACCTGCTTATGTTATTACATCAGTGTTACATGTTCATAAGGGCCACGCCTTAGTGCAGGCGGTTAGTCGCTGGCTTCCCACCATGGTGGCCCGGGTTTGATCCCGGGTCTGGTCAAGTGGAATTTGTGGTGGACAAAGTGGCGCTGGGGTGGGTTTTCGCAGAGTACTTTGGTTTCTCCTTCCAATCTTCATTCCACCAAATTCTCCATCATAATCACTCAGGGCAGGCTACAATAGGCCAATCAGTCGCCTCTGTGCCGATTGGACCCAGTTGGACTCCACCCCCCACTGAGCGAATTACATGTTCATATCTGAGGTGTTGTCCATCATGTTAGTTCAGGCCTTAATGTGGAATCTGTGATCTGGTAATTGGCAGGACACACATTAAAGGGAAGTTAAAATATTAATTGCAGTACATGGCAAGACTGATCAGGTGTAGGACCATGTATGACTTGAGGTACCCATTAAGAATAACTGACAGGACCATTTTCTGATCAGGTTTGTTCATGATTGTCTTGTGTCTAAAGTGTCATGATCATACCATTTGATACCCATGACCTCTGTCATTGATATAGTGCCACTAAATAACTTAACTTTGTCAGTACGTGATGCATGAAATTATGTGAATTTTTTAAGTTAAAAAGCTTCTTTTTTTGGGGGGGGGGTTGTGGTATATGAAATAAGTGACCTTTTGGGACATTATTCATCAGTTCACTGTGGCATAATCATTATGTAGGCACACGTTTCATATTGTTGTTGTCTCTCTGTTGAGTGAATTTTGTTTCCAGACCTGATATTGCTTCAAGGTAACAGTAGAGCTGTATGTTATGTAATACAACTTGAGACCTCCTTGTGAGTAGGCTGAATTTTATCTTATCTTGGTTGGAAGATGTTTTGTCACCAGAATAGACAAAGAATATAATTTACTACATCAAGTCATGTCTATATCTTTTCTCCATGTGAATGGTATTCAGCCGTCTATACTCTTAATTGACACCACACTGAAACTGCTGTATCAGCACTTAAAATTGCATCTGT